TTGCCTGCGTTTGGAGGCCGGGGGCAGCTGTGGGCGGCTGCTCTGGCCCTTTCCCCCCGGGCAGTTTTCCTGGCGCTGGTGCCGCGGGAGGGAATGGCGCCGCTGCAGCCGGAGCCGGGCCGGGAGCGGGAGCGGAGCCGCCACCGGAACCGGGAGCGGGTGTCGGAGCGGCACGGAGGCGGGCGGGCCGCTCTGCTGGAGCCAGCGCGCTCGGCTGCAGCTGCTGGCGGCGCGGTGGCCGCGCCGTGACGGCGACATGACCCTCAAGTCGGGCCGCAGCGACAGCGTGAGCAGCATGAGGACGGCGCTCTCCGACCTCTACCTGGAGCATCTGCTGCAGAGCCGGCCCAAGCCCGAGGTGAGCCCGGCCCGGCCCGGCCCGGCCCGGCCCGGCCCGACCCGGCCCGGGGGGCTCTGCCCTCGGGGAGCCGTCGGGATTGGGGGTTGGGGCCACGGCTCTGCGCACCCGTCTCCCTTCCCCGGTACCGAGCCCTGGGGGGTCCCGGCACCCCCAAATCCACCGGCACCCCAGACCGCAGGTATCCCCCGGCCCCAGGTATCCCCAGACCCCCAATACTCCCTACCCCCAGGCACCCCTTGCCCATATTGGGCCCTGCGATGCCCCTCACCCAAACACTCCACACCGGGTGGCCCAGAGCCACCCATTCCACCCCGTCCCTCCTGCACCCGCCATGGGGAGCAAGGCCACAAAGGCAGGTCCCCCACGGCAGCAGGAGCGGGTGCCTGGGTATGTCCCCCATCCGTGGCACCCCTGGTCCCCACTCCCTACGTGCCCCCTGGGAGCGGGTCCCTTGCTGGGGGCCGCGGGGCTCCCTGGGGACAGCGTGGCGGCCGCTGCAGCATCCTGCCGCCACGGAGAGCGCGCTTGTTTTTGCTGCAAAGTTGTGCAGCTGGTCTGAGCTGGAACTGCCGTCACATGAGCTGCCGGGGCCCTTGAGCAACCCGCAGGCCCGCGGCGACCGAGCGGGCGCCGCTCCCGGCACCGGTGTCACCAGCCCGTCTGGTGGCCCCGGGTGGTCCTAGGGGCTGGGCACGCGCCATGGCCCGTGGAGGGAGAGCTGCAGCTGTCCCTGCCGCGCTGGGGGAAGGTCCCTGTGCTGAGCAGCGAATGGTTTGCTCCCCGTGGAGATGTTCGGTTCAGAAATGAAGTCCCTGCACGAGCTGTGGCCTGAGCAGGGCACCCGCTGAGCTTCCCCCTTGCCCTGCGCTGAGCTTTCCTCCTGCCTCGTGCCGAGCTTTCCTTGCCGCTGCCAGGTGCCCCTGGAAGCAGAGAGGGAATTTTCCCCCCAGGGCTGAATCTGGCCCATCCCGCTGAACAGCCCAGTGTCCCAAAGGGGCTCCCTCAGGTGCTTCAGGTGCTTTTATGGTTCAACCTTATACATGCTCTTAAAGGAAAACAGGTTTTTGGGATTGCTGTGGCTCCGTGGGTCTCCACTCTGGGGAGAGGCTCTGGCTCTGGCCTGCTCGGCTCCAATGGGATCAATGGGAGGTTCCTCTTCCCCTTTCAAGCTGCTGGGAAGCACCATCCCGCACCCTGCCATGGTGGCTTTGCTGACAAAGCATCCAAAGGCGCCCGTCCCCTTCCCCTGAGCCCCAACCCGTGACCGGTGTCCTCCTTTTATCTCCTTGCTGCAAACAGAGCCTTGCAGCCAGGTGTGGGCTTTAGTCCCGGTTCCTCTCCTGTTGAAGGTGTGACCTTGGGCAGCCGCCTTATCTGCAGTGACTCAGTCACCCCATTGTACCGGCGGGCAGCAGATCTGCCCTGGGGAGAGCCGGGAAGAGCATTGGGAGAGTGTTGGGAGAGGGTTGGGAGAGCGAGCGGGCAGGAATGCAGCCGACCCTTCCATCTGCGTCGTGCTCTGGAGCAGAGCCCGGAGTCCACATGTTCCAACGTGACTGCGGGCAACACCAGTAGTTAGGCATTGAGCAAAACGTGTGGTTTTGGTCCAAAATGAAGTGGATAGGGCCGGTTCCTAGAATTAGGCTAGGGTGTGCGTTGTGATGTTGCAGGCTGTAATAGCGCTGGGGAAAGGTCCTTTTGTGGCACTGGAAGATTGGGGATGGAGCTAGTGGGGCACTTCAGGTTTCCTCCTTGGGTTTTGGTGACTTTCCTGTGGATAGGGAGGTTCCACGGACACCCCTGGCTGGCTGCATTGATCCCTCTCGGCAGCAAAACGGGACCTCAGAACGATGTAGCTGAGCTCCCTTGCAAACCTGCCCCGTTTCAGCTCCAGCCTCCGCAGCTGGAGCCAGCGCGAGGACGGGCAGCGTCCCAGCCTATTTCGCCCTCCGCTCTCCCTCTGACCTGCCCACGTAGCTCTTCTTTTTTTCCAATTTAATCTGTGTGTGTTGGGAGTGAAGCAGGACCCCGGGTGGGTGCCGTGGATGCTCTCCGGAGGCTGCCAGGGTTTGTTGGAGAACGGAGCGCGTCTCCCTGCTTCACCGTGCGCCCGGTCTGGGGCAATCCCGGCAGGGATCCTGGCGTCCCTCGGCCTTGGCACGTGTCAGGGCCTGGCTCAGCATGAGTGATGCTGCCCATGGCTTCGTCCACGCGCCCGAATCATCGTCGAGGCCGCCCACGCGAGCAGAGCCAGGAGCTCCCAACCTGCCCCGTGTGCCCTTTGCTCAGGGCGCTGCTTCCTCCGGGCGCTGCTCCAGCTCCTTGTAAACGAGCTGCCCGGTTAATGTTTGACCACAGCCCAGCGGGGCTGCAGGGGTACCAACCCTGCCGTGGGGACACAGTGCCAGGTCCTGGACCAGGGTCTCTCCAGCCTCTTGGAGCTTCCTATGGACATGGAAGTGTCCGGGAGGAGCCCGGTGCCCTCGAGGTTGCCCAGCACAGTGGCTGCCACCACAGAGGTGCACAGGCCACGGGTGCTGTGCCACTCCGGCACCCCGTGCCGCGGCACCGGTGACACCGCCGCTGCGTCAGCGCGCAGGGCTGCGCGTTTTGCCCGTTCCTCAGCAAAACGCAAAGGTCGGAGCCGCTGGGGCCGCCTTGCCGGGCTCAGCTGAGCCGGGGCCACGCGGTGCCTGCCCGGGGCGCGGGCGCGATAAGGGAGCTCTGCTGACTGCAGTCACCTCAGGGGCCCTTTGGCCTCGGGGCAAGGCTGCGCGGCTTCCTCCTCCTCCTCCTCCTCGTGCTGCTTTCCCGCTTGCTCAGCAGAGCTGCGGGCACCAGCGCTGCGCAATGGGTCCCTCCGCACGGGGGGTGACGAGGGGGTCCGGGGGGGATTCGCGCATCCCCCTCCTTCCGCCCCATCCTTGGCCTGGGCATCGCTCCCGGGCGCCCGTCAGCCGCCTCCTCGCGCCGCTGGCAGCAGCGGCCGCCGTCCTGCTCCCTGGAGCACAATGTTTGGGAACCGGGTCGCTTAGAAATAAACAAACGGCACGTGCTGCCTTGGCCCGCGGCCCCGGCCGGCGGCTCCCGGCCCTCGCGGCGGGTCGGGAGAGGACAAGGGAGGCGACGGGAGCTTTGGAGATGGGAGGAGGTGCCGCCGGGCAGGACTGGGGCGGACGGGGAGCTCGGTTGTCCCCGCGCAGGCTCCTGGTGGCCTCAGCTGGAGAGGGGCTTTGGGGTCTGATCTCCAGCTGCTTTGGCTGATGCTCCTTGAAAGCCGCCCGTGGAAGGAGTTCCTGACTTGGATGTCTCTAGATGTGGATGTGGCTCTGGACCGAGTCACTTTACCCATTGGCCTAGATAAGGAAAAGCTGAACTCGCAAAGGGATCCCGAGGGGAGCGTGGCCTCCGCGGTGCTCCCGCTCCCGCCGGGCGAGTCCCGAGCTGCTCCGTTCATGCCGTGAAGCCACCCTGGGCTCTGCAACGAGCCACCCTTGGGGCCAAGGGCTGCTGTGGCTCCTAAATCCCGCTTGGGACTCGTTGCTGCAGAAAACAACCAGCCATGAACTCTTTTGACTTCACGTTCCTCTACTTTTCCAAAGTCTTTGTATCTCCCACAACTTCCCAAGCTGGAAAACTGCTGATGAAGCAGTCCACGGGTGATGAAGATGTCCACGGGTGAAGTTCGGGTTTCCTTTCCTTCCTCTTTCTGCCTGCTCTTCTAGTGCCCTCTGTGCCCCGTGGGGGCTCTAGGGACACCCAGACGGGAGCAGCTCCGCACCACGGTGGGATCTGGGAGCTCTGACGGGCCCCTGACGCCCGGCGTCTGTTCTGCCCCGACAGGCCGTCCCCCAGTCCCTCAACGCCTTGACCGAGGACATTTACACCAACGGGTCGGCGATGCTGGGCAGCCCCTCGCACGCCAACGGCCGCGAGGTGCGCAAGATTCGCCTGGTGCAGTTCGAGAAGGCCACGGAGGAGCCCATGGTGAGAGCTGCCGAGGTCCCCGGGCTTGGTGGCCCTGCACGGGGCTGCAGGGGCAGGCACAGCCCCGTCCGTTTGGGATCCCGGAGATCCCTGGAGAGCTCGCGCGTGGGAAGAGCCTCCTGGATGCTGCTTCCTCCCCGGGGACCCGGAGGAGCCTCATCAGCGGGAGATGCTCGCGCCAAGAGGACTTTGCGGATTCAGGGATTCTCCTGTCTTGCAGGGGATCACGCTGAAGCTGAACGACAAGCAGAGCTGCATGGTGGCCAGGATCATCCACGGGGGCATGATCCACCGGCAAGGTAACGGCCAGGGCTCCCGGCTCCCCGCCGGGCGGGGACGAGGCAGCTCCGCGGCACTGCCGCCTCTTCCCTACGGCCCTCGTTCCTGCACCGGGAATACGGCCGGAACCCGGGACTCGCGGATCTCTCTGCAATGAGCTTCGTTAGGTGTCGTGTTGATGCTTTGGAGGCTTCTGGGGAGAAATGAGGGGCTGGGGGAAGGGACTTCCAAAAGTGGGACCTGAGGTGGAGCTTGCGGGACCTTGTCTGCCCCATGCTGGGGTCTCTGTACACATGGGTTGTGTCCCCAGGACTGGGCAGGAAGCTCTTCCCTTCCTGAGGTACCTAGCTGGGCCAGGCTTGCGATGGATCAGCTCTGAAAACCCAAGGAAGGTGCCAAAAGAAACAATTAGGTGTCATTTTCTGGTCTGGACACTTGCAACGGTGGTATGGAGTTGAGGTGCTCCATCCTTACAGTGAGAGGCCCTGTTCCAGCCTTGGGTCCGTGCGGGAAGTTTGAGCTTATCCCTGCTAACCCTGCGTGCCTGGGTTTGGTGCCTGCTCCTGCATTTCCCGGGCTTGTTTCAACAGGCTCCCTTCACGTGGGCGACGAAATCATAGAAATCAATGGGCAGAGCGTGAGCAACCAGTCGGTTGACCAGCTGCAGAAGATGCTGGTAGGTATTTGGTTGTGACGGGGGTGTGAGGAAGGGCCGTTTTGCCTCTTGCCACGGTGCATGCCGTGGGCGCCCGGCCGGGGCGGCCGCTCGCTCTGGCACTCCTGGGAGCAGCGGCTGTTTGCGGAGCGGCGTCACCGGGTCCCTGCGGTGTCACCCGGGTCCCCGCGGTGACGTGTCCCCGCGGTGACGTCCCCGTGCGCGTGGCTGCCTGGCAACCCTCTCCACTCGGCAGAGCAGGTACCGCCTGGGCCGGCGCTGCGGACGGGACCGTGCGGCACGGAGCCCTCCTGCAGGTCACCCTGGTGCCCCGTCCCCGCTGCTCGGGTCGTGCTGCTGACCCTGACGGGGAGCAGTGCCAGGGAACAGTTCCAGCACTTCCCACTGTGCCCTGGGACTTGCTGATGGTGCCAAACACGGTCCCCACCTCGGGGGCTGGTACCACCCCGAGGGACAGGCACCAATGCAGGGCAGCTAAGCTACCTTGCATTGAATGCAGCTAAATTAGCACAGCTCCAGCATGCTAATTAGGAGCCCCAGCAGAGCCGTGTCTGCCTGGGCTCCCGGTGCCCAATGCATCCTGGCACGGCCGGGAGCACCCGGAGCCCTTGGACACCGGCTCCCCAGGGCAGGTTGCTGCAGGCGGGCTGGCTGCGGGTGCCCTCTCCAACACGTCTTTCTCTCCCCTTCCTTTCTTCACTAGAAAGAAACCAAGGGGACAGTCTCCATAAAAGTCATTCCCAATCAGCAAAGCCGCCTTCCTGCTTTCCAGGTAAGTGCAGGGGCCGGGCGAGCCGGCCAGGCCTGGCTGCAGGGCCACAGGGAGCGAAGCCAGGAGAGGGCCCGGAGCTCTGTGTGACCGGGGAGGGACACGGGGCTGCCAGAGCTGCAGGAGGCTGCAGAGACCTGTCCTTGCGTTTGTCCCCATGCAATGAAATGCAGCGCACGGCCATGGCTGCGTCCACGTGCGTGGGGAGAGCCTGCGGTTCCCCTGCGTTTCGGACCTCTCCTGCTGCCCTTGCAGCGCCCCGGGCCGTATCCCGGCTCCGTGGTGGCCGTGGCTCTCGCGGTGACGATGATGGTGACGTGGCTGCCGCCGGCGCGGGGAGGAAGGAAGCGCCGCGCGGGAGGAAGCGGCTCCGCCAAGGCGCTGCCGCGGCCGGTGCGCCTGTTTGCCGGGGAGCCGGGGACCTGCTCCCTGCGCTGCGCAAAGAGGCTGCCCTGAGCTCGGCTCGGGGTGACGGGGAGGACTCGCCTGTCCCCATGGGGCTGGACACTGTCCTGCCCAACACAGCCCCTCCGTGGGGACCGGGATGGGGGATGAGCACTTGGGATGCGCCAGCCCACGGTTCCCCTTCCCTCTCTCAGCCATCCCTACGTCCCTGATTGCTTTCCCTGCCTCTCCCTCGTGCCAAGCTGTCCCTGAGCCACCTCCTGCCACCTTGCATGGGTTTATTAAGCGCTGCTTTGCGGCTGCCCTTCCCCGCTGCCCGTCCTGGTCCCGGCTGCGATCGGCACCAGGGCAAAGCCACCTCTGGGAGCCAGGATGGGGACGCTGAGCCCGCTGGGGTCATCCCTCCAAGAGCAGAGTGCAGGGGCTGTGTGGGCTGGGGCAGCAGGGCTGCGACGTGCTGCGTTTCAGCCAGAAAGCTGCTCCTCTGGGCGCCGCAGCAGTGCAGAAAACAGCCTGTCCCCCAGCCAGGGTGAGGTGACCCCAGCCATCCAGCCGCTCGCTTCTTCCTGAGTGGCCTTCCTGGAAAACAAGGTCTGCATGTGCCAGCCCTGAGCAGCCCTTGCTCTGCAGGCCTTGTAAACCGATGCATTTGCAGCTAAAACCATGGTGCATTTGCAGCTAAAACGGCCATGCATTTGCAGCTAAGATCATTGTGCATTTGCAGCTAAAACCGTGGTGCATTTGCAGACACAGCTGCAATGCAGTTGGCTCCGGGAGAGCAGCTGATTGTGGAGAGGCCGGACGCGCTGCTGGGGTCTCGGAGAGCCCGTGACGCTGACCCGGCCCCTTCTCTGCCTCTCGCAGATGTTCATGAGGGCCCAGTTCGACTACGACCCCAAGAAGGACACCCTGATCCCCTGCAAGGAGGCAGGGCTCAAGTTCCAGACCGGAGACGTCATCCATATCATCAACAAGGACGACAGCAACTGGTGGCAGGGCCGCGTGGAGGGCTCCTCTACGGAGGCGGTCGGCCTCATCCCCTCTCCGGAGCTGCAGGAATGGTAGGTTCCAGACCCGGAATGCCGCTCCCGGCCCCGCGCCGGGCTCCCTATGGCTCCCGTGTCCTCCTGTCTCGGCAGGCGTGTGGCGAGCGTCACCCAGTCGAGCCAGAGTGAAGCCCAGAGCTGCAGCCCCTTCGGGAAGAAGAAGAAATGCAAAGATAAATACCTGGCCAAGCACAGCTCAAGTAAGCGCGAGCCCTCACCCTGGCCTCCGGTTTAGCCTAGGTGACTTGTTGGCTGTGTTGGCAGTGGGACCCCGGGGCTGGCAGCCTGTTTTGGGGGGAGTTTCCCCTCTCCAGAGGGCTCAAGCTCCAGGGCAAGCCCCAACCTTGCAGCAAGCGCTGAGCGCCCGTGTAAACGTCCCCGTCCGGGCCCGCCAAGGCGGTGGCCTGAGGACGTGCTGGCTCCGAGCCCTGACAAACAAGGCTGTAAATCAAGATAAATCAAGCTCACCCAGCGCTGTGGGCTTTGCAGCTCCCTGCGCTGACTGCACTGCATGGAATGGGGAGAAAAGCGCCGGCCTTTGCACCGGTATCTCGGCTGCTCCTCCACAAGCCACTTGCTGAGGCCGGATCCTGCTCCCAGGTTGCCAGGTGGCTCCGTGCTCCCAGCCCTGGCTTCTCCATACGTTTTGCCAAAGTGTTTTCCAGCACATGTGCACACACGTGCACACGCATACATGCACATACATGCATGCATATGCACACACGTGCTCCAGCTGTTCTCTGACCCCCTTCTCTGTCCTCGGCGGCAGTTTTTGACCAGCTGGATGTGGTGTCCTACGAGGAGGTGGTGAGGCTGCCCGCCTTCAAGAGGAAGACACTGGTGCTCATAGGTAGGTCCTGCCAGCACCGCCCCACGTGCGGGGGGACCAGGAGGGTCCTGGCTCCTAAATATCTCGGGATGACTCTTGGTGAGCAGAGGGGCCCCGGCATCCTGCTCGGAGCCGGCGCCTCCACCGTCCCCTTCCCGCAGGGGCCAGCGGCGTGGGGCGCAGCCACATCAAGAACGCGCTGCTCAGCAGCAACCCGGACAAGTTCATGTACCCAGCGCCCTGTAAGTAGGGGCCCAGGGTGCGAGGTGGGACGGATGCTCCCGTGCGGGTCCTTGTCCCGCTCCCCATCCCGGTTCTCCCTGGGGATCAGTCTGAGCGCTCCGGGTGTTCCCCTGCCTCCCCAGACACCACGCGCCCGCAGAAGAAGAACGAGGTGGACGGCAAGGACTACTACTTTGTCTCCACGGAGGAGATGACCCGGGACATCTCGGCCAACGAGTTCCTGGAGTTCGGAAGCTACCAGGGCAACATGTTCGGCACCAAGTTCGAGACCGTGCACAAGATCCACGAGCAGGACAAAGTTGCCATTCTGGACATCGAACCCCAGGTAGGGGGGTCCTTGGTGACGTGCCAGCAAGTCCCTCGTGGGGTCTTTACTGCTGTCCCTCATGGGCCCAGCGTGTCCCATGCCCCATGAGTGAGCTGGGTCTCGCTCCAGCATCGTCTCCCACTTTCTCTGCAGACCCTCAAGATCGTGCGCACGGCCGAGCTCTCCCCGTTCATCGTCTTCATTGCCCCCACGGACAAGGCGGAGCAGGTGAGTGTCCCCCTCCACCAGCCCCAACCTGTCCCCATGTTTTAAAGCCGGCGAGAGAAGCCCTGGCAGCAGCCCTGGGCTCTCCCTGCTCCAGGGCTGGGCTCAGCGTCCTCCTTGGCTGCGCTGCTTTTGGGAACAGAGCCTCTTCGGGACATAGAAACAGGCACAGGCGATGCCAGCAGCCACTGGCACCCCCTGACTCCTGCCTTGTCCCTTTGGCACAGCCAGCCCTGGCACGGGGCTCTGGGCTCCTGCGGTGCCGCGCTCATGGTGGGCGGCTGGCACCCCTGGGAGCCCTGGTCGTTGTCACTGCCCCCAACCAGCCCCATGCTGGTGCCACCGCGGGAGGCTGCAGAGACCCGTGCCCGAGGGCCACTCGCAGCCCTGGGGAGGGCAACAGGCTCCTGCTGCACCGGGGGCCGCGGGGACGCTCTATGTTTAGCCGCCTGGCACGGCTCGGGTATCGGCTTACTCGAGGGGACAGCGCAGGGCCAAAGGGAGGCAGGGGAGCTCGGGGGACCCAGGGGAGCTGCTCCTTGCTGCTGTGCCCGCAACAGTGGCCGGAGCTGCCACTGTGGGGAGTCCCGCCCCGGCTCCTGAGCCCTCTCCCCTTCCTCGCAGTCGGAGGCTTTGCAGCAGCTCCGCAAGGACTCGGAGAGCATCCGCAGCCGCTACGCGCACTACTTCGACCTCTCGCTGGTCAACAACGGCGTGGACGAGAGCCTGCAGCTGCTGCAGGACGCCTTCGAGCAGGCCTGCAGCTCCCCGCAGTGGGTGCCTGTCTCCTGGGTGTACTGAGCGTGCCTGTGCTCAGCCTGCAGCAATGGGGGGAAGAGGAGCCGCCTCCTCCTCGGCTCCCCCGTTGATAGCGCCCCACACATCCCCCTGCCTCCGTTCCATGGACACGGGCTCCTTGAGCCGCCAGGCACAGCACGGAGCTGGTGCCAGGGCATCCTTGGGCTCAGGGCAGCTCCTGCCTCCCCGGGCACGGAAAAAGCACAACCCTGCAGGAGCCTCCTGCCCACCTTGGACTTGGCAGCCAAGGGAATGGATCCCTACAGCCCTAGGGGAGCTGTAGCCCAAGGGGCTCCCATGCAGTGACACCCTGGGCCGTGCGCTCCCAAGCACAAGGGTTTCTCCTTCGGGCCAGGGAACGTCACCGGGGATGGGACACGGGAGGCTTGGAGGGCACTGTCCCCTGGGCCCAGGGGTTTGGGGCTTCTGACTCACCCTGTGCAACTCTAACTTGTAAAACTCCCTGTATTTAAATTCTCACTCCAATTGCTACAGGCTGGACAGAGAAATTCAGCAGCAGCCAAGTCCCACAGACCCAACCCTAGAGGGACAATTCATTAAGTAAATTAGAGCCAGTAAGTTATCCATTGCATGCAGTAGAAACGGTGTCTCTACAGTGATCATCCAGGCATGTTTTCCAGCATCTAGGGTGTCTTGCACACTGTATGCGACCATAAACCACCCACCCAAGGGCACTCCTTGGGCTGCAGGAGTGACCCAGGGCCCGACGCTGTCCAGGCTTCACCACAGCTCCTGGCAAACCATGGCCATGGTGTTGGAGAGAGGATCCCGTCCGCGTGCTCTGCGGGGCGGGAGGGGAAGGGCGCTGGGGCGTCTCGCGCAGGTTTTTAAGGATGCCAAAAATAAAATCTGTTCATGTGCAATAGGGACCTTTGTTCGGATCCACAGCAGGGAAACACTGAGCAGCAATAAATGTGTGCTGAAACGTGGCTGTGGCTCGTGGTTTGCAGCTGAGCCCCTGCTCCCAAGGGCAGCTCTGCTCCCACCTCCCCAAACTGGGCACACTGGGATAAGACAGGCCAGGACCCAGGAGAGTCTCCAGCCCCTCAGGTCATGCCCAGCACAGGTGAATTAAATACTAAATGGCTCCCTGGGGAAGCCCAGCAAGGGGAAATCGCTGCTTCAAGCCTGAGCAGTGACCAGGGTCCCTCCCGTGGCAGCCCTTGCTGCCACCACCACCCTTGGGGCAGGCAGAAGGGACAGCCCTGTGTGCACACGCATTAAACCAACCTGTGTGCCTGGATCCTGCGAGCCAGGTGAGCAAGAAGAACCACCCACTGAAAAACAGGGGTTGTTTTATTTTTTCACATAAAAAAGGAGTAAATAAAAATCACCTTTTCCTGCTCAGCTCCCGACTGCCTCGAGCTGCTGGCCCCACTGGCCACATGCTTCAAGGAGGGAGAAAAGTGAAGACTGGAATAGAGAGGATTAGGGAAAAGCAGTGCTAGGACCAATTATGGTCTCTGCAGAGACAGAAACTCAGAACAAGGCAGCCCACCTCCTTCCCCACCAAAGGATAAAATCCCAGTTCAGCCCTATGGCTGTGATAAAGATCTGCTCCCAGTGACCACAGAATCACAGAGGGGTTGAGGGTGGAAGGAACCTCATGAGATCTAGTCCAACCCCGCTAGTTACCTAGATCATCTAGTCCTCCCGAGGGACACCCAACGCACAGGGAGGCATCCAGACAGGTTTTGAAGATCTCGGCAAAGGAGACTCCACAACCTCCCTGGGCAGCCTGTTCCGTTACCTCATCCTGTCCCAGACAACCACCAAGAAGAGGTTGGCCCCATTTCCTTCACATTCTCCCCTCAGTTATTTATACATAGGGGTAAGATCCACCACAGGGAACTGGGACAGGTTGCTCAGAAACTACTGGAGCTTCATACCTAGTGCCGCTCATAGGGCTGTAGCTCCAAAGGCCTCCAATGTGGAGGCCTATGGAGAAGCCAAAGGGATCCCCTAAGTGCCTTGCCCTGCTCCCAGCAGTGTCCCTGCTTCCAGCCTCTGGAGCATACTGGAGCAAAAAGATGGAAGGCAGCTGAGCCCCCCGCAGTCTCGTTCTAGCAATTGGGCACAGAAGAGCAAAAAGGTGAGCACGGGGAGGGCAGCAGCCCACAAATCTGCCAAGCGGTTCCCCACACCATAAAGCAAAAAAGCAGGAAATTCATGTTCTGATCTTTTATGATAATTTTTTAAAAAAGTACCAAAGAATATCCTTTGGTGGAATATTTGATCTCAGCTAGCTGAGGGTGAAGCCAAGCACACGGCGAGCTTTAAAATCAGAGCCCTTAAAAATAATCGATTCAACCGGCCCCCGTGCCAAAGCCATTCAGAGGGACAATGGCTGGGCAAGTTCTTGGACATCAACACATTCTGTGACTGTCGGGAATGGCTCTGAGCTTGGAAGAGAAGGAAGAAAGAGGCAGGACAAGAGAGGCGGAAAGCGTTAACTCCTCCTCTGAGTGAAAATGGAGACGCCAAGAGCCAGGAGCTGCGACTCCCCCGCGGATACCAATTCTACTGGCATCAAGGGGTCCGGCTTCGCAGGGCAGTCCAGTGCAGGGGCAGTCAGACAGGCACCCCTCTCCTCTGGCTACCCTTAAAACAGGATGAGGAGAAGGACCTAAACAGGGCACATCCCGGACAAACATACCCTCTCGCTTATATATACAGTGGAAAAGGAGCTTGGAACTTGCTGGTCAGTCTTCTTTTTCACCAAGGCCTCAGACTCTTCCCTCCCCACTGATGAGGTCGCCTGTTCGGGGCAGATCCAGTCGCTTATTCCGAGCTCTCTTCTACTTTCTGTTTCTTTTTCTTCTTCTTCTTGGTGCTGCTCTCACAGATCTGTTGGAGATAGCAGGAAGGAATTAAGAAAAGAATCACTTACTGCTCGTTTCTGAGGGGGCATCTGGCACATGGCCACAGCTGCCCCCAGCCAAGCACCAGACAACGTGTTCGCTACAAGCACAAGCCAACGTCACACTAGACCTCGTGGCCCCTCTCCACCAGTGCCTGTTAGAGGACACCAGAGGTGTCTCCAACTACCTACCACTTCCATTGCCTCTTCTCCGCTCTCAGCAGCCTCTTTGACCTTCTTGTCTTTCTTCTTCTTTTTCTTCTCCTTTTTGCTCGGCTCGTCCGGCGGGGGGGTGGCAGGGGCCACACACTCCTCGCTTTCACTCTCCGACTCTCGTTTCCTCTGTCAGGGAATTACGTTGTCAGACAGGTTGTCTCCCAAAAGGGCACAAGGGATGATGGCTGATACAAGCCCAAATGTGACAGACTCAAGCCAGCTCCTCAGCCAGTTCGGAGTGTGAGCTACCAACAGCCAGAGTTGCCTTCCAGCATAAACTGGATAACATTCCCCCCTCAGCTTGTATCCCACAGCTCCCAACGCTCCCTACGCCCCATCCAGAGCTTAAAATGCAGCTGCACCCCCCTAATATCATGCAGAAGCCCTGACTGGGAATGTTAGAGGCAACATCTGTCTAAAATGACATTTCCCAAACTGCCCAAGGTCTTCAGGAGGTTCTCTGGAGTAGCATTCCTCTGGTCTGGCTCCACTGAACAGGTTGCCTTGGGTGCTGCAGCAGGTACAGCTCAAGCCAGAGCTCCTCATGCCTCCTGGCCACGCTACATGAGTCATACCGCAGTACCAACAGCCAGGAGAAAAACATCTAGGGGCTGAGGCCCTTCAACAGGACACCCCAATGCTAAGCCCTGGCCACAAGATGGGCTCTGGGTTGCCCCAGCTCCAGCCCTGCCCTCCAGGATTACAACCCATCCAAGCTGCAAAACATTCAGAGCTTGCTACCAATGACTCAAGGCTAAGGCACCTCCCAAAAATCTTCAGCAGGCCTAAAATAGACCTGATTACACCCAAACACCCCTGGTGATACTGACCTTTGGAACCCTCTCTGGTTCTGAGATAGCCCGGGGTGCTGCTGCTTCCTCTTTCTTGATGGTATCCCTGAAACGGACGGAATGTCACACAGGGCACGACGGTCCCTGCCTCTCACACAGGGCCATACAAAGCTGCCTCCTCCCCTTCCCAACAGCTCGCTCCTGAGCCCTAGTATAGAGTCAGGAGCAGATGCTCCTGGTGCAGGGAAGGTGTAGGGAAGACCCGCAGCCCGCACGGGCGCCCGGCCAGGCCGGACAACAGCAGGGCCTCCCCTCTTCCATTTAGCAGACTGACTCCCTCTGCAGCCACGGGCCAGGCTGCCGCGGGATAACCGTCTGCTCCTGCCTTTCGTCCCCTGTGAGGGGACGGCACAAGGGCACCCAGCAGGGCCGGGCAGTGAAGACACCTCGCCAGGACCACCATGGTCCAAGCACAGGCAGCAGCCCCCAGGACAGCACTGGCTGCATGGAGCCTCCCCTCGGCACGTGGTTCCGAGCCCACCACCCTCTGCTCACCTGTAATCCACGTACTCCTTCTTCCACGAATCCGGCGTGTTCTCATTGGGCTTCCCGTGCTTGTCCAGCAGACCCTTCTGGATCATTATCTTCTTCTGGCTGGCCTAAAAGCAGAGCACAGAGCCTCACACTGCAGCTCCAAGGTGCAGGAACCCACCCGTGTGTTCCAGCCACACGACACCAGAGCAGATATCCCAGCAAGAGGCCAAGCCAACAAGAGCATCGTTACTCATTAGACACTTGCCCAAGGACCTCGTGACAATTAACAGGAAGCACCCCCTGCACAGCTGTCTCCCACCTCCTGCGTCCCCTCCCTGAGGTTCTCATCAGTAAAGAACCATCATCAGCTGCATAAGGGAGGGGATGGAACTGAGGCACAGAACCCACCAGAAGTATTCCTGCTTCTGCCAACCTTTGAGAGGGATTTAGTCCCTTCCACCACAGTTTTGCACTTTTGCACTGTCATGGTTTCGTGAGAATAAAAAGCACCTCCTTTCCAGCCCCTCCCGAGCCATCAGCTTTGAGTGATAGATGAAGGTCATCTTTGCACAGAGTGCTCATGCCATCCAAGTGACATCATTTGGCTCTTTATGGAGGGTTCACACGTAAACAGGAGCTCAAACATGATCACTGGCAACAGCCCAGTTCCCTGACACAGCTCAACCCTGGGCTCTCCTCCAGCCCCAAGCTGACGCAGCCCCAGTAGTGCCACTGTTGAGGCCACGGGGAAGTACTGGGGCATTTACAGCGGGGCCCAGTGCTGCCCAAGGGTGCCCACGTCCCACAGCCAGGCCCCAGCACAGCACCCCAGCCCTGCTCACCTTGGGCCCCAGGCCCCATTTGCGGGGATAGGTGTCTCTCTCCATGATCACTCTCTTGATCTTCGCCACTACTCCATGGTCACAAGTAGAAATGACCGCCGTGGTCATCAAGGCAATCGCTGCAGAAGAGGGCAGAGAATCCACAAACAACTTAAAACTCAGCCAAGCTACAACGGCTCAGATTGACAAGCCTGCTGCTTTAGGCCTGCTCTTCCTGCATCACCACAGCCATGAGGCAGCTTTTTCCCCAGCCTACCAGTACATGGTACTATTTGTTGCTGGTTCCTTGAACTCCCTCCCAATGACCGGGTTTAACAGCTTAGCTCTACCTAGGACTTCACCTCTGAGGCCCTGCAGTCCCAGAGCACCCGGTTGTGTGGCACCAAATGGCACTGACAACTCCAGTGAAGTCACGGGAAGCCACTCGGCTCCCTCTGCACTGATCTCCTCCATAGGTGTGATGTACATGATCAGACATCATCCCTCGTCTTGGTGGGGATGCAGCCCCCACAAAGGGGGCTCCAGCCCTGACAGGACACCCCCCTCCTGCAGGCAGCCACCCACAGGCACCAGCAGCCCCCAGTAGGACACTGGGACACTGCAGGGCTCTCTGGAGGCCACACAGCACCCTGACCCTAGAACAGGGACCAGGGTGCTGCAGGAGGGCAGTGCCGCTGCACTCAGAGAATGGATAAACTTCATCATCACCTCACGTACAGAGCACACCTGAGCCTCACACCCCTGGGACGAGCCCCTCGCACCTTGCCAAGGACTGGCTCCAAAGCAGAAACAGCTCAAACAGCTCATAGGCCAAGAGAAAAGGGGCAACAGGAGTGCAAGGATTTCTGATGATCTTAACAGAAGCAATGGATTTACCCAGCTCATAACTTGGCTCTGATCCATCTGCTGTTTCTTATGCTCCTGCTCAATGCCAGCTGCCCTGCATCTTAGCTCACTAGGCCAAGCCACCCCACAACTCTCATCAGAAGACTATTCAAGTCCTCTGTGCACGGGATCTCATTTGTCACATACTCACTGCAATAGAGTCTCATTACTGTGTTTAGCCAGGCACAAGAACAGGGAACTTCATACCTAGGCATATGGCTTCTCCTTTTGTGGTGATGACGACAATCTCCTGATTAAGCTCGATGCCATCTTCATACCTCAGGACACCAGGCAACATGATCTTGGCTCCATAACAAATGGCATTAACCTGAGGGGGTGGAGAACAGCAGGCCTTATAGTCTGTTGCTGAGAACAAGCACCTTAGGAAGTGCCTCAGTTCACTTGAGCTCCCCAAAGCCATTACCACTCAAACAACAGTGGGCCCAAATGTTTTATAAGATGGACAATGAGAAACACACTTGAGGGCTTTGGAGAAGCAAGCACAGAAAAGCACCCACCCCAGCAAACAAGCTGCAAGACAGATCTCTAGTAAGTGTCCTCTTATGAGAGCATCACCTCTGAATTCAGTTCTGGGTTCCTGCACCGTACTGCTGACCCAGTAGCAGCTCATACCGAGACCTACATGATGCTATAGAGCATGAGCACCCTGATTTCCTGTGTGCTGTACTAGCTAGATGAAGAGGGCAGCACTTTGCTGTCTCCAGATGTCAACTGGCACCAACTCAGCCACTTACTGCACTGTCTTTCATAACCAGCCGCTTGTGTGAAGTCAGCAGCTTCTCCAGGGGCAGGATAACCCTTCGCAGGTAGCTGTCGTCCTTGTTGTTGTCGTACTGCCACTGCGCGTCCAGGACATCGTGCATAGTCACCATGTTGTCCTGGAAAGACACAGCCCTTCTAAACTTACACGAATACCTAGGACTTCTAGATAAAGGAGACCATGGATTAGAAGCTTAAACTAACCAGCTCCTCAAACTGTGACATGCTATGAATTGTGGAAGCTCTGCATCCAGCACCTGGGATTCAAAACAACTACAAATGATCACATCTGCAGTAAGAGCACAGATGGAGGAGAGGCATTTCCACTCAAATATTCCTGCTGGACAGGGAGAGAAATTGGTCCTGGAGCTCAGACGGGCAGTGGGATGCAACTATGCCCAGACTGAAAAGCCCAGGCAACAGTTCAGGATCACTGAAGACTGGCATCCCCAAGCACATCCCAAGGGAAGCCTGTGGCTCGCACTGCGCTGCGACACCAAGTGGCTGCAGAGAGCTAAGCAGACAGGCAGCTCACGTGCCTGAACGCAGCTTGTAGGCTGAAAAACACAGGTGACTTAAGAAAGCTTCCAGCCACCATGGCATGTTTCCCAGCCATTCACTGTTCCAAAGTTTAATTACCAGAACAGGGGCAATCACCCTGACCTGAACTCAACACTTTGGTTCAAACTGTCCATGGCAAAAGCACCCACATTTTGGGGGCTGTTCACAAAGGTGGCTTCAGCCAGCCACCATGCAGCTATACGTGCTTCTATCCCCTGTAAAAGTAACACAGTTGTGAGGAACTCTCACGATTCCAAACAGCCAGTTAGTCACCACTTTACCTTCTCCCCCAGGATCCCTGAGCGCACTCTCCGGAGCTCCTGCATCTGTCCCCCGACCCCGAGCAGCAAGCCCAGGTGAACACAGAGCGTTCGGATGTACGTGCCTGCTTCGCAGCTCACCCAGAAGATACCTGGAACACAGGCCAGGCAAACAGCAGTTAAACACCTATCTAGGAATGCACCCAGTCTAGAAGCTTTGTGCCCAGCCTCCCACAGAGCCATCAGCATTGGGTGATAGATGAAGGGTCATCTTTGCACAGAGTGCTAATGTCATCTAATTGACATCATTTGGCTCTTCAGGAAAGACTTGGCTCTACAGTCACCATATAGATGAGATTTGCTTCTCAGCACATAGAAGCAAGACGAGAAGCAGCTTGACAGGAACAAGGATCTATTTTATCCTGTCTGCAAGCAATAGGAAACAGCCCATTTCACAGGGATTTCACCATCACCTGATGTTTGGAAAGAGAGAACACGGTGCTGTATTACCTAGTCTTCTCTCCGGGTCGTACTCCACAAGCTTGCTTTCATAGATGGTTCTGACTCTCAGTTGTCTCTTCACAGCAGCAATGAGGGGTGGCCGCTGGAACAGGGCTCCTGTCAGCGTTTCTATGGCCTGAGGGCAGATACAGAAACAACTCGTCACGCCTCTTCTATCAGCAAATGCAATATTAAAGTGTCTGCAGGCATTAAGACCACCTCCACGAGAAGCCACAAGGTTAATCATTGTTCGGCTAGACCACATTTTAAAAAGCCAAAATGAACCAGGGATGTGGTCAAAATACTGTCCCAGCTGTCAGGGAGACATGGCTGGGCTTTTCCATCAGGTGGCAGCATGTGATCAGACATCATCCCTCATCTCGGTGGGGATGCAGCCCCCACAAAGGGGGCTCCAGCCCTGACAGGACACCCCCCTCCTGCAGGCAGCCACCCACAGGCTCCAGCAGCCCCCAGTAGGACACTGGGACACTGCAGGGCTCTCTGAAGGCCACACAGCACCCTGACCCTAGAACAGGGACCAGGGTGCTGCAGGAGGGCAGCGCCGCTGCACTCAGAGAATGGATAAACTTCGTCATCACCTCACGTACAGAGCACACCTGAGCTCCATTCCTACCCTCATCTCCCAGGGGTGCTGGGCGCTTTGCACGCGGAGCGTCGGCATCGCTACCGGCGTGCGGAGACTTACCCTGGCCAGCTGGGCCTCACTCTCAATGGCATTGTGCAGCCGAACAATTCCCACATACTCTTTGCCTAGAAGAACGACAAGAGCAGTCAGGAGCGGCCACTGGCATTTAATGTTGACCTCAAGGTGCACGCTGCTACCAGGCAAACGTCTAGAGGGCCCATTAAATAGCTCTGCAATCACCTTTTCTAGGCAGTGCAGGGAACTTCTGCTTATTCTTCCAACAAAAGAAAAAAAATTAAAGGACTGAGATCCTTCTTTATCGAGTGTTATTTCACTGAATTTGAAGACTGAGGCTACCAAGAGCCACAAGTCCAGGTAGCACACAAAACCAGTCACTCAGAAGTGTTTTCCATGGCTTAAAACAGCACAAGACCCAAGAGAGGGAGAAATTATGAGAATACTTGCATCACTATGTGCATGTCCTCACTGGTTGGAGCAACACGGATAAACAATCCTTGGGTTTAAGTCACTCAAGACCAAGAGCAGCCCAACTGCAGACAGGAACGGGAATCTGCAGCTTGGCTTTAGCAATCTGCACTGCTCCATCAATCAGACCAGATGTGGTCGCAGGGTAGCGAACGTACCTGCACTCTGCTGAGATTTGACCAGCCGGGTCGCCCTCTCAATGCACACAATGAGGCACCCAGTCACCTTAGGGTCCAGGGTGCCGCTGTGTCCGGTCTTCTCCACGCGAAGGATGCGGCGGATCCAGGCAACCACCTCATGGGACGAGGGATTGGAAGGTTTGTCGAGGTTGATAAAGCCTGACCTAAAGTGCAAGATGCCAGAAACACTGATTATTAGAAATTTTGCATAAAGACAGAACAAGCGTGGAAGTCTTAATGACTTCCCAGCAGATCAGCGACAAACCCAAACCAAATCAAACTCTACAAGAAGTGACCGGGACATAAAACAGCACACAGCAAATCGACCCGATGTCACCACGAAGATCAGAGGTCACCTGAGATACTAGCCACGAAAGACTAAAACCACCCCCGCAGTTATCGTACTCACCTAACATAGTCAGAGATCTCTCTTTTGAGGGGATTAGCACCAGAAGGAAGGGGTGTGTAGTGTGCAGTCAACACGTTTAACTTGTCGAAGTTCTACATAAATAATAAAAAAAGGCAAAAAATGTCATAGGTGAAATGTGAGCTCAGTGAGTCTCAGTTTCATCAGTGCTTTGCCCTAATGCAGCTCGCTGGTTTTATGTACGGTTATATCTGTGGATTTCTGGAAACACCCCTTCCACATTAGGAATGTTCTGGGAATGCAATGTCTTTTCAGAAGGAGGGGAAAAAACTCACCGTGGGGAGAGATATCAACGTAGCTGGAATGAAAAGCCTTTAAAAACGGGATAAACCCAGCACGTGGGAGACCAGGAGCTTGTGGGAAGAGCAAGGAAAAGCAATATAAGGAGGAGCTGAAAGGCTTTATGTGGTTTATAGGGATAAAAACCTTGCAGAGCAGCGTGGAAACAACACGGGGGGAATTCGGCTGAGATTTTACCAGCAGCCTCCGCTCCCAAGGCCGGGGAAAGGCCAAGCTTTCCAAAACCTCGACGGGGAGGGTCAGGTTTATAAATGGGGAAGCCAAGGCCGTCACCTTCAGCAGCAGCGGCCACTGCGACGTGTCGAGCTGGGCCACGCGGGACTCGGGCTTGATGAGGAACTCCTCGGTGTGCTGGATGTCCTGCGGGGACACGACGGGGGGGTTAATGGGGGGTGCAAAGGGGTCGCTGGCCACGTGCGGGGCTCCCGTTGCCGCCCGGGGCCTCGCGGCGCTCCCGGGGCCCCCGACGGGGGCCCCGGGAGCGCCGCGAGGCCCCGGGCGGCAACGGGAGCCGGGACTCGCTCTCACCGCCACGTCTGCGTCGCGGAGCTGCCGCTTCTCCTTCTTGCGCCGCTTCCTTTCGACGGAGCCTGCGGGAGAGACGCGCTCAGCGGGGGCCGCTGCCCACCCCACCGGGCCCATCCCGTCCGTTCCGGTCCGGATCCCCCTCCCCGGTAGGCCCCGCAGCCGCCGCTCCGTACGCACCGTCCGTGTCCGCCATGGCCGCGCCGCGTGGTGGAAGGGCCGCCCCGCCTTCCCGACGTGCCCCGCGCGGGCCCGCCCCGGGCGATGGGCGGGGCGAGCGCGCGTGGGAGGAGCGATATGCAGTGGGCGTGGCGTGCCCGACGGGGCGTGGCGATGGGCGTGGCTCCGAGTAGGCACGCGCCCGCGCGAAAGGAAGCGCGGGAGCAGCGAGTTTAATGCAGGAAGCGCGGGAAGCTGCCCTCGAAGATACGCGGGATATCCCAGAAATCAGCCCAGCTTCCCAGAGCTGCCGCTTGCTCCAGGATGCACCACAACTGTGACGGGTTCACGCCGCAACGGCAAGGGCTGAGGCCGAGCGAGGGCAGAGGACACAGCTGGAGGCTTCTCGAAGGCTCCATGGAGGCTCTGCGCTCCAGGTGCAGGCGCGCGGCGAAGGCGCCGCAGCTCTGCGCCGCCGCCGCGTGCTCGCCGAAGCCGCCGCGCAGCGCCAGCCGCTGCCACGCGTCGCGCTCCTGCCGCACGAAGAGCCGCGCCGCCTCGGCCAGCGCCGCCGCCTCGGCCGGCCCGTGGAAGAGGCTCTGCGCGCAGCGCGCCACGGCCAGCTGGCACCAGGCCGCGTAGGGCAGGCTCTCCTGGGCGCGCAGCTCCCGCGCCAGCGCCGCGAACTGCTCCGCCGCCTTGCTCCGAACGGCCCGAGCTGACCCGGCGCGGCGGCTCCACGGCGCGGCCAATGGGAGCGGGCSGCTCCACGGCAGSGCCAATGGGCGCCGGCTGTCGCGGCACACGGCGTCGCGGTACAGCCAATGGGCGCGCGGCGCTCGTGGGTGTGGCCCACGGTTTCCCGCGTGTGGTTGGTGGCCGAGGGTCTCTCGTTGTGGCCGGGAGGCCGCAGTGCGGCTGGGACGGTGGCTCGGTGCCTTTGCGCCTCCTCCGCCACCGCCCCTTCCTGGGCGGGCCCACCGGCCTTCCCACCTCGCCCCAGCCGTCCTGGGGACGGCTCCACGGCCCCGACGGGCCCCGCAGCACGTGCTGCTGCTCGGGCGGTCCCTGCAGGCGCGCAGCGCTGCCTGGAAGGCCAGAGGGCATCCCTTTCCCAAGCAGGAAAGACTGAAAGTGAATTTATATTATTGTATATATTATTTTAAATGCGAGTGTGTTTGCCCATGTCCCTGTGTTTTTAAGGGGGCTGACAGACTCTTGCTGGTGTGGAAACACCAGCTGTGCTGAGGCTGCAGCTGCAGTCACCAGTGTTCCTGTACGCACGGGGCTGGTCAGGGTTCCCTCACATCATGGCTCAACGTAATGTGTAGGGTGCAGCACTTAACACCAAGACATGATACAGAAACTGGGAAGCTTGGCAGCCCACAATTTCCACTCTCCCGGCTCTGGGATTTCCGGGCCTGGAACAAACCCTGTTTCCTTACTCATTTCTTGCCTGGGCTTTCCTGTGCTTTTCCTGTGGGGTTGCTTTCCCACAGCAACCGGAGCAGTACATTGAGTTTGTGGCCACGCGATGCCTCCTGGGGCAGTGTATGGCCTGGGGACAGTGTCGGGGGCACAGCCCCAGCAAGCTGAGTCCTGGTGCTGACGCTTGGTAAGCTGAAGCGTCCGAAACCAAACCACATGCACATCCCTTGAGCTGCAGAGGTGCTGCCGTGGTGGGAACAGGGACGCTGRCTCCCTGCCTGGCAGGCAGGAAGCTCCCGAACTGGTAAAAGCCCACGGGCACTAACCCTAACACGGCTCTGCCTTGGCTTTCTGTGCCCAGCGCCTGCCTGAGCCCTGGGCTGTCCCCTTGAGACCTCATTCCCAGGCTGCAGAGCAGGGCTGAGAGCATGGGGTGCTGCCCCGTCCCCTCTCTTGCCAGGTCTGCTGTGGCCAGTGACGGAGAACCGTTTGCAAAATAATTTCTCCTTTCCACCGACAGCACCTTAGTGTTCRTCCCCTGCCCGCCATGGCAATTTGCATCTGCGTGGGCGCGCACCAGGCACGGTAAATCCGGTAAGGTGAAAGCCGCACGGAACAATCCACTCCGTTCTGGTGGCTTTCGCGCTCCCGGTGTCTGGGACAAGGGCTCGGGGACACCCACACTGCTCCTCTCTGGTTTCCCGTCCAGCRTGCGGCACCCCTTGGCTAAGGGGCTCTGGGCTGATGGTACCAGAGAGGCAGGGCTGGCGCTGGCCTCTTGGGCCAGCTACTTTGGAGGAGCTTCGAGGAACCCTCCTTGCTGCATGGGCCCCATTTCCAGCGATGCTGCAGCTGCCAYGAGAGGCTGGTTCCTGTTCTCCCTGCGCTGCGGCGGCTGCATCGCGGTGGCCGGCGCTTGCCCGAGCTGCAGGTGTGCGGGCAGCGCTGCCGAGCTCACCCAGGACGTCCTGTGCGCGACRCACCGGCCTTGCCAGGAAGGGAAAAACCCCGTGAGCCCACGTGGGAGGAGCGGGGAGAGTGGTGAGGACACTTGTCACGGGTGAAATGTGTCGTCACCAGCCAAGCGCTTATAGGGGCTGCGGTGAGAACAGGAACCTCTATTGCGGCGGGTGCAGGAGCAGAGCGGAGCRGCTCAGGTAGGTGCCTCTGGGTGGCTCTGCTGGGGTCTTTGTCACCTGTGTGGCTGCAGGGGTAGGAGGACAGGCGCATCTGTCCCGCACAGGGTGCTGCACACCCAGCCGTGGCGAGGACGTGTCCCCAGGGAGCCGGGCATGCTGTGACCATGTCCCCACTGGCAGCACCTCTGTGCAGGAAAGCAGAAACCCTGTGGTGAGTTTGAGGTGTTTCTGTGCCTCAGACTGGGTTCTGCAGCACCGTGTTCTGGTTCTACAGCACTGGGCTGCTACAGTACCATGACTGGAGAGTAGGAATCCAGCTCTTGGGTCTGGAGGTTGGCAGTGCCCGTGTTCAGCACCGGGATGTGTGCGGAGGGAGCAGAGGAGGGGATTGAGCAGAGGAGGGGATTGGAGAGGCTGCCGCAGGTGGGAGGAAGTTGGAGGTTTCCGCAGCTGCAGCCACTCGGCATCGCGGAGAGCAGGAAGGGGGGCGAGGGGAGCTGGGGGGCCGGGCACGCGCACCCAACTTGGCACTTTGCAGGAGCGCAACCGCAGGACACAGGGTGCTTGTGCAGGCACCCTGTGCTGAAGGGACACACTCCTGCACCCCGTGTCGGGGTGATGCAGCCTCGCACCCCGTGCTGGGGTCATGCGCTCCGGCCCCGCACACAGCAGGGCCRGCTTTGCCCCGGGTGGCAGGAAGAGCCTTGTCACCGCGGCGGCTCCCGCGGGTGCCTGGAGCCCTGGCTGTGGTAGCCGCACCAAGCAGGGCTGCTTGGGGCCGGCCCGCACGGGCTCGGCAAGGGGGTATCGGGGTGTTGCTCACAGTCGTGCTGACGTTGGCCCCAGGACCCCTCCCAGGGTGCTGGTCTCTTTGGGAGCATCTCGGCGGGTTGGGTTTGGCCCAGGCTCCCGCACCGTGCGAGGAGCAAACGCCCGGCCTTGTTGCGGGAAAAGGGACGGGCATGGAAGGGAAAGCTGGGCAGGAAAGGAGAGGGTGGAAATGACAGCACAGCCRGGCAGCAGCGAGCCCGGAGCCGGTGCATCCCTCTGTACAGACTGGGACTTTCAGATCCCAGGGTGGTTTTCCCCAYACTAGCCATGCTGGTGGCCTCTGTATGAAACTGGGACTGCAAGGTTGTGACTGTGGYGACTTGGGGCAGTCGGGTACCACCTAGGTGTATCATAAAAAGAATGATGTTTGTGTGGAAGTGCTAGTTCTAACATTTTCTTCACATTTTCCTTCACAGATCCTTGGRTCTTGGTGATGGACCCTCCAAGCACTCCCTTTCCCGCCAGCGAGGTCACGGAATACAGGAGGAGCAATTCCTGCTGCCAGATCCAAGACGGGTTCCTGTCTGTGACGCTCCCGGTCACGTACTCCCTCATCTTCATCATGGGGCTGCTCAGCAACAGCCTGGCGCTCTGGGTCTTCTCCTGCGGCGCGCAGCGGAAAACCTCCATCACGGTGTACATGCGGAACCTGGCCCTCTCCGACCTGCTGCTCTCGCTCTGCCTGCCCTTCCGCATAGCCTACCAAGACAAGAGCGAGCCCCGCGTCTTCTGCAACGTGATCGGGGCCTTCTTCTATCTCAACATGTACGTCAGCATCACCTTCCTCAGCCTCATCAGCCTGGACCGCTACCTGAAGATCATCTGGCCCCTCAAAAAGTTTCGGATCCACACCGTGTCCTGCAGYACCACGGCCTCCGCGCTGGTTTGGTTGGTGCACTCAGCTTTCATGCTACCTTTCTTTTTTGAGACGCAAGGAAAAGGACCTTGTGACCATAAATGCTTCCACTTCAGAAGCAAAAGCCTCGTAGCAGCAGCCTTTAACATGGTCGCAGTAGCCACTTTCTTCATCCTGCTGCTGCTCTTCCTCTACTTCTACAGCAAGATATTTGCCAAGCTCCACAGAGTCTCTTCGGTGAACGCTCAGCAGCTGAACAAGAGGACTAGCATGAAAGCCATCACCAGGACCTTCGTAGTCCTCATCATCTTCATTGTCTGCTTCACCCCGTATCACGTTGTCCGTGTTCCTTACGTCCTGGCGCAGGTGGGGGTCATTTCCAGCCTGGCCTGGAAGCAGGGTCTCCACCTCGCTAACGAGCTCGTGCTCTGCATCTCAGCCCTCAACAGCTGCCTGGACCCTGTGATCTTCTTTTTCYTGTCCAGCAGCTTCCGGAGGGCCGTGCTCTGCACCGTCCAGGGCAAGCTGACCAGAGCCCTCCTGAGGAACCAGGGAGGGCTGAGCTACAGAGGCTCTGTGACCGAAGCCTAGGCCTTCCAGGGCRACCAAGGTCTTGAGCATGGGATGTTCTCATCAACACCTTGACTGCTGCTCTTTACCACACAAGACTTGCCTGTGAGACGGAGGGAGAAACTGAAACCTTTTCAAGCTTCTTCCGYTGGCGCCGTCAGGGCTAGAGCTACCCAAGGGGGCGAGAGAAAAGAAYAGCTGAGGCCTCCCCTTTCCATGGCAGCTCCGTGAACACAACTGAGGAGATGATCTGCTTGGGAAGAGTGAAGGCCACAGGAGAAACCCCCTTGGCCTAGGGCCTCCACCAGCACAGAGAAGGGCAGGGACAGAGCCCAGGACACAGCAAGGCTGCTTGGATGGGAGGAAGAGGAGTGAGGGGAAGAGCAGGAGTGGGAATCTGCTGTGAACGTTGTCTACGTACCACATTGCCAGAGAAAGCATAAGGTGTTTGAGCAGGGGGGTTGGACTAGATCATCTCTAGGCRTTCCTCCAACCTCAACCATTCTGTGATCCTGTGGGAAAAGAAGATGAAGAGCAGAATTGGGGAAAAGGCAGGAGGAAGCTGATCAGAGCATTCCTAGGAGCAGATGATCACGTTTCTCTGAGATGTGCCCTGCTGACCCTGGGAGAAGCCGCGTGGGGAAACATCGAGCCTCTGCAACCCCAAACCAGGACAGCACACGCTTTTCCCCCCATCATTTCAGTGCAGTTCTTGTACTGCTGCACCAGCCTCATGGTTCTGTGTACGCACTGATGGAAACGGAGCCTGCAAGCGATAAGGAAGTTTTGGGCCATTATTATTCTTCGCTGCCCAACCWCTTCCCAAAGAAGGGCTTATTTCTCTGCGTGGATTTTTTCCCCTTTCATATATTCTCATCTGATCTGTTCACTTATTTTTGGAAGATTGCAGGCTTGGAGAAACTGATTTGCACATCAGGCAAGAGCAAATCCTGGGCAATTAGGACTGGGGAGGATTTTCATTCAGAGGCTGAACTGTTTTAGTAACTACTTAATTCAAACACCTGAGAAATACTCTGGAGKATGAAATGCTTTATGAAATACTGAATCCTCTGCTCTTTGCAGTCATGGTGGGAGCAAGCCCGTTAGCCGTGTGCCAAAGGGGGACGGAGACGCCGCGGAGGACGAGCCTCGCGGTCGCCGTGCCCGCTGCTGATGCACCTGGGGCAGGGGGGTTTCCTCCCGGGGGGGCGGGGGGAGGCTAAAGCCGAGCGCTTCCTGCGAGCTGCAGGCAGCGCTGGTGACACCCCGCAGCTCTGCCCGCGGGCTGGAGTCAGAGCAAAACCGCGCGGGTCGGCGGGGCCGCCGCACGGCAGCTGAGGGAGCCCCGCGCTGCGCACCGGGCGCCGCGGCGGGACGGGAAAGCGGCGGCGCTTCCGAGAAGCCCGGGCCCCCAACGGGTCATGTTTCCGCCGCTGTTGTCGCGGCGAGCGGCACGGAGCTGCAGCAGCCCCGGGGCCGCGGCGGGGGGAGACCCCAGCCCAGGCTCCCTGCCCGCTCCCAGGGCTGCGGGAGGAGACCCCAGGGAGCTCCGCATTCCGCCCCGTCTCCCGCTCTACTCCCACCGGGACCGACCGAGCCCGGAGCGGCGGCCGCCACGAGCAGCCCCGACGSGACCCGTTGCTGGAGGCGCCCTGGCAGCGCTCCCCTAGCCACGCCCCCTTCGGTGGGCGTGACGCAGCTCAGGCCACGCCCCCTCGACCCCCACCTACCGTCTTCCCGCGTGCTCCGGCAACCGGCGCCCATTGGCGCCGTGGCACCGGCCACACCCACAACCGCCGCACGCCCATTGGCCCCGCCGCGTGCCCCGGCAGGCGGCGCCCATTGGCTGCGCCGCGGATCCGCCCGCTCCCATTGGCCGCGCCGCGGAGCCGCCGCGCCGGGTCAGCTCGGGCCGTTCCGGGCCGGGTCGGGCGGCGGCTCCAGCTCGGCGGCCGGGCCGGGCCCTGGCGGCAGCGGCGGCGGCAGCAGCAGCAGCGGCGGCGACGGGGACTTCCTGTCGCGGTACCGGCTGGTGTCGGCCAAGCTGCGGCGGCGCTTCCTGCGCAAGCCCAACGTGGCGGAGGCGGCGGAGCAGTTCGCGGCGCTGGCGCGGGAGCTGCGCGCCCAGGAGAGCCTGCCCTACGCGGCCTGGTGCCAGCTGGCCGTGGCGCGCTGCGCGCAGAGCCTCTTCCACGGGCCGGCCGAGGCGGCGGCGCTGGCCGAGGCGGCGCGGCTCTTCGTGCGGCAGGAGCGCGACGCGTGGCAGCGGCTGGCGCTGCGCGGCGGCTTCGGCGAGCACGCGGCGGCGGCGCAGAGCTGCGGCGCCTTCGCCGCGCGCCTGCACCTGGAGCGCAGAGCCTCCATGGAGCCTTCGAGAAGCCTCCAGCTGTGTCCTCTGCCCTCGCTCGGCCTCAGCCCTTGCCGTTGCGGCGTGAACCCGTCACAGTTGTGGTGCATCCTGGAGCAAGCGGCAGCTCTGGGAAGCTGGGCTGATTTCTGGGATATCCCGCGTATCTTCGAGGGCAGCTTCCCGCGCTTCCTGCATTAAACTCGCTGCTCCCGCGCTTCCTTTCGCGCGGGCGCGTGCCTACTCGGAGCCACGCCCATCGCCACGCCCCGTCGGGCACGCCACGCCCACTGCATATCGCTCCTCCCACGCGCGCTCGCCCCGCCCATCGCCCGGGGCGGGCCCGCGCGGGGCACGTCGGGAAGGCGGGGCGGCCCTTCCACCACGCGGCGCGGCCATGGCGGACACGGACGGTGCGTACGGAGCGGCGGCTGCGGGGCCTACCGGGGAGGGGGATCCGGACCGGAACGGACGGGATGGGCCCGGTGGGGTGGGCAGCGGCCCCCGCTGAGCGCGTCTCTCCCGCAGGCTCCGTCGAAAGGAAGCGGCGCAAGAAGGAGAAGCGGCAGCTCCGCGACGCAGACGTGGCGGTGAGAGCGAGTCCCGGCTCCCGTTGCCGCCCGGGGCCTCGCGGCGCTCCCGGGGCCCCCGTCGGGGGCCCCGGGAGCGCCGCGAGGCCCCGGGCGGCAACGGGAGCCCCGCACGTGGCCAGCGACCCCTTTGCACCCCCCATTAACCCCCCCGTCGTGTCCCCGCAGGACATCCAGCACACCGAGGAGTTCCTCATCAAGCCCGAGTCCCGCGTGGCCCAGCTCGACACGTCGCAGTGGCCGCTGCTGCTGAAGGTGACGGCCTTGGCTTCCCCATTTATAAACCTGACCCTCCCCGTCGAGGTTTTGGAAAGCTTGGCCTTTCCCCGGCCTTGGGAGCGGAGGCTGCTGGTAAAATCTCAGCCGAATTCCCCCCGTGTTGTTTCCACGCTGCTCTGCAAGGTTTTTATCCCTATAAACCACATAAAGCCTTTCAGCTCCTCCTTATATTGCTTTTCCTTGCTCTTCCCACAAGCTCCTGGTCTCCCACGTGCTGGGTTTATCCCGTTTTTAAAGGCTTTTCATTCCAGCTACGTTGATATCTCTCCCCACGGTGAGTTTTTTCCCCTCCTTCTGAAAAGACATTGCATTCCCAGAACATTCCTAATGTGGAAGGGGTGTTTCCAGAAATCCACAGATATAACCGTACATAAAACCAGCGAGCTGCATTAGGGCAAAGCACTGATGAAACTGAGACTCACTGAGCTCACATTTCACCTATGACATTTTTTGCCTTTTTTTATTATTTATGTAGAACTTCGACAAGTTAAACGTGTTGACTGCACACTACACACCCCTTCCTTCTGGTGCTAATCCCCTCAAAAGAGAGATCTCTGACTATGTTAGGTGAGTACGATAACTGCGGGGGTGGTTTTAGTCTTTCGTGGCTAGTATCTCAGGTGACCTCTGATCTTCGTGGTGACATCGGGTCGATTTGCTGTGTGCTGTTTTATGTCCCGGTCACTTCTTGTAGAGTTTGATTTGGTTTGGGTTTGTCGCTGATCTGCTGGGAAGTCATTAAGACTTCCACGCTTGTTCTGTCTTTATGCAAAATTTCTAATAATCAGTGTTTCTGGCATCTTGCACTTTAGGTCAGGCTTTATCAACCTCGACAAACCTTCCAATCCCTCGTCCCATGAGGTGGTTGCCTGGATCCGCCGCATCCTTCGCGTGGAGAAGACCGGACACAGCGGCACCCTGGACCCTAAGGTGACTGGGTGCCTCATTGTGTGCATTGAGAGGGCGACCCGGCTGGTCAAATCTCAGCAGAGTGCAGGTACGTTCGCTACCCTGCGACCACATCTGGTCTGATTGATGGAGCAGTGCAGATTGCTAAAGCCAAGCTGCAGATTCCCGTTCCTGTCTGCAGTTGGGCTGCTCTTGGTCTTGAGTGACTTAAACCCAAGGATTGTTTATCCGTGTTGCTCCAACCAGTGAGGACATGCACATAGTGATGCAAGTATTCTCATAATTTCTCCCTCTCTTGGGTCTTGTGCTGTTTTAAGCCATGGAAAACACTTCTGAGTGACTGGTTTTGTGTGCTACCTGGACTTGTGGCTCTTGGTAGCCTCAGTCTTCAAATTCAGTGAAATAACACTCGATAAAGAAGGATCTCAGTCCTTTAATTTTTTTTCTTTTGTTGGAAGAATAAGCAGAAGTTCCCTGCACTGCCTAGAAAAGGTGATTGCAGAGCTATTTAATGGGCCCTCTAGACGTTTGCCTGGTAGCAGCGTGCACCTTGAGGTCAACATTAAATGCCAGTGGCCGCTCCTGACTGCTCTTGTCGTTCTTCTAGGCAAAGAGTATGTGGGAATTGTTCGGCTGCACAATGCCATTGAGAGTGAGGCCCAGCTGGCCAGGGTAAGTCTCCGCACGCCGGTAGCGATGCCGACGCTCCGCGTGCAAAGCGCCCAGCACCCCTGGGAGATGAGGGTAGGAATGGAGCTCAGGTGTGCTCTGTACGTGAGGTGATGACGAAGTTTATCCATTCTCTGAGTGCAGCGGCGCTGCCCTCCTGCAGCACCCTGGTCCCTGTTCTAGGGTCAGGGTGCTGTGTGGCCTTCAGAGAGCCCTGCAGTGTCCCAGTGTCCTACTGGGGGCTGCTGGAGCCTGTGGGTGGCTGCCTGCAGGAGGGGGGTGTCCTGTCAGGGCTGGAGCCCCCTTTGTGGGGGCTGCATCCCCACCGAGATGAGGGATGATGTCTGATCACATGCTGCCACCTGATGGAAAAGCCCAGCCATGTCTCCCTGACAGCTGGGACAGTATTTTGACCACATCCCTGGTTCATTTTGGCTTTTTAAAATGTGGTCTAGCCGAACAATGATTAACCTTGTGGCTTCTCGTGGAGGTGGTCTTAATGCCTGCAGACACTTTAATATTGCATTTGCTGATAGAAGAGGCGTGACGAGTTGTTTCTGTATCTGCCCTCAGGCCATAGAAACGCTGACAGGAGCCCTGTTCCAGCGGCCACCCCTCATTGCTGCTGTGAAGAGACAACTGAGAGTCAGAACCATCTATGAAAGCAAGCTTGTGGAGTACGACCCGGAGAGAAGACTAGGTAATACAGCACCGTGTTCTCTCTTTCCAAACATCAGGTGATGGTGAAATCCCTGTGAAATGGGCTGTTTCCTATTGCTTGCAGACAGGATAAAATAGATCCTTGTTCCTGTCAAGCTGCTTCTCGTCTTGCTTCTATGTGCTGAGAAGCAAATCTCATCTATATGGTGACTGTAGAGCCAAGTCTTTCCTGAAGAGCCAAATGATGTCAATTAGATGACATTAGCACTCTGTGCAAAGATGACCCTTCATCTATCACCCAATGCTGATGGCTCTGTGGGAGGCTGGGCACAAAGCTTCTAGACTGGGTGCATTCCTAGATAGGTGTTTAACTGCTGTTTGCCTGGCCTGTGTTCCAGGTATCTTCTGGGTGAGCTGCGAAGCAGGCACGTACATCCGAACGCTCTGTGTTCACCTGGGCTTGCTGCTCGGGGTCGGGGGACAGATGCAGGAGCTCCGGAGAGTGCGCTCAGGGATCCTGGGGGAGAAGGTAAAGTGGTGACTAACTGGCTGTTTGGAATCGTGAGAGTTCCTCACAACTGTGTTACTTTTACAGGGGATAGAAGCACGTATAGCTGCATGGTGGCTGGCTGAAGCCACCTTTGTGAACAGCCCCCAAAATGTGGGTGCTTTTGCCATGGACAGTTTGAACCAAAGTGTTGAGTTCAGGTCAGGGTGATTGCCCCTGTTCTGGTAATTAAACTTTGGAACAGTGAATGGCTGGGAAACATGCCATGGTGGCTGGAAGCTTTCTTAAGTCACCTGTGTTTTTCAGCCTACAAGCTGCGTTCAGGCACGTGAGCTGCCTGTCTGCTTAGCTCTCTGCAGCCACTTGGTGTCGCAGCGCAGTGCGAGCCACAGGCTTCCCTTGGGATGTGCTTGGGGATGCCAGTCTTCAGTGATCCTGAACTGTTGCCTGGGCTTTTCAGTCTGGGCATAGTTGCATCCCACTGCCCGTCTGAGCTCCAGGACCAATTTCTCTCCCTGTCCAGCAGGAATATTTGAGTGGAAATGCCTCTCCTCCATCTGTGCTCTTACTGCAGATGTGATCATTTGTAGTTGTTTTGAATCCCAGGTGCTGGATGCAGAGCTTCCACAATTCATAGCATGTCACAGTTTGAGGAGCTGGTTAGTTTAAGCTTCTAATCCATGGTCTCCTTTATCTAGAAGTCCTAGGTATTCGTGTAAGTTTAGAAGGGCTGTGTCTTTCCAGGACAACATGGTGACTATGCACGATGTCCTGGACGCGCAGTGGCAGTACGACAACAACAAGGACGACAGCTACCTGCGAAGGGTTATCCTGCCCCTGGAGAAGCTGCTGACTTCACACAAGCGGCTGGTTATGAAAGACAGTGCAGTAAGTGGCTGAGTTGGTGCCAGTTGACATCTGGAGACAGCAAAGTGCTGCCCTCTTCATCTAGCTAGTACAGCACACAGGAAATCAGGGTGCTCATGCTCTATAGCATCATGTAGGTCTCGGTATGAGCTGCTACTGGGTCAGCAGTACGGTGCAGGAACCCAGAACTGAATTCAGAGGTGATGCTCTCATAAGAGGACACTTACTAGAGATCTGTCTTGCAGCTTGTTTGCTGGGGTGGGTGCTTTTCTGTGCTTGCTTCTCCAAAGCCCTCAAGTGTGTTTCTCATTGTCCATCTTATAAAACATTTGGGCCCACTGTTGTTTGAGTGGTAATGGCTTTGGGGAGCTCAAGTGAACTGAGGCACTTCCTAAGGTGCTTGTTCTCAGCAACAGACTATAAGGCCTGCTGTTCTCCACCCCCTCAGGTTAATGCCATTTGTTATGGAGCCAAGATCATGTTGCCTGGTGTCCTGAGGTATGAAGATGGCATCGAGCTTAATCAGGAGATTGTCGTCATCACCACAAAAGGAGAAGCCATATGCCTAGGTATGAAGTTCCCTGTTCTTGTGCCTGGCTAAACACAGTAATGAGACTCTATTGCAGTGAGTATGTGACAAATGAGATCCCGTGCACAGAGGACTTGAATAGTCTTCTGATGAGAGTTGTGGGGTGGCTTGGCCTAGTGAGCTAAGATGC